GTGTTTTATATTATGAGTTTTTGTCATTCGACACCGAATATCAATACTGTTTCATCAGATATGGAAACCATGTAATCTCAATTTTTAAAACATCAATTCACTTTACGTTCTCTTAATTTCGCAAATATAAATGACTGTGAATGAAGTGTACTTTTTATCCTAATCTGCTTGTAAATTCGCACGAAATTTCTCAAGAGTTTTTATTGGTTGTATTTGTTAAACTTTAAACTGCTGAATAATTGTCGAGCTGCAAATAATATTACTTTTGTTAAGACATAATCTAATAACTGAACGTCAGTGCATTTTTTTCGGTCGATGTCTCATTCGAAAGTGGATACAAGTATGAGGAAAACAATCTTCTTTTTGCGAGGTTAAACTTGATATAACCGGGAAAAATGCCTCTTTAATTTATTCGATATATAGTGACGAAATGTGTTTTAAGATCGGTTCAAACACAACTTTTATCTTATCTCGATTTGATTTCGTGTGTTTCTTGTTTCTTTATTTGAAATCAATTTGCTTAATGATTGTTACGTTTTTAAGGTCATATTTTGCCGTTTTATAAATTGTAGTCATTTCAGTATTAATGTAATTATGACTGCCCATGTTGTTATAAAAATGATTTTACTTTATAGAAGCAACAAAAAAAAAAGTGCCTGACTTTTTGTTGGACAAATAGTCAAAACCACATTTCTGAAAATTTAACTTCGTGAAATATCACTACCATCATATGGAATTGATTAGATTTTAAGTTTTATACAACCATGGATTTACTCTGTTGCCTCAAATCTATTAGTTGTTGAAGTTTAGGAATATAAAGTAGTCAAAATGTTATGGTTTCTTTATATCTTGTCAGCGACTCAAATAACCCACATTGATGTATGATGGAAACAAAGAAGTGTTTGGTCAGGTGACAAGTCAGGTGACTGCGGATATATTCTGCCCTGCACGGATAAGGAAAACAAATAGGTTTTTAATTTTTGCCTTTGAAAAATATTATGTTGAGATTGAAACATCAGGCAATCTAATTTTGTGGATTACAATACACAAAAAATAAACTTTCAAAATTTTTCGCATTCCAATTTTCCTTTGTTCAGCTTGGGAATTTTGAAATTTAGGTTAAGTGGGCTGCAGGGGGTAAGATATACCAGCTGTGGACACATCTCCAACACATTATTTTTTTAATATTGGAAATGGGAATAGATCCTTAGAATACATAGTAGGGTACACTATAGAGTGGGCCCACGGCGATTCAATAGACTACGGGACATTTTAAAGAAAGTGTTGGCTTTTTTTGTTTAAATGTTGCATGCGGAGGTAGCATAGTCATTTTGAAACGATGAAAGCACTTTGTTAAGAGCGAACCATAAAACCTTGGAAGGCCAGAGATTTCGAAAGGCGGGCGTTGCATCATGCCGTCCGGCTGGCGGCTGTCACGTCATGCCGTCACTTCGCTACCCCATCCTGCCGTATTTCTTGCCTACACTTGGCCGATGCTGTCACGAATTTACAAATTCACTACTTCCACTACAATATTAAGACTTAAATTAATCTGCAAAATGAAAAAAAATACAAAAGGAAGTATTTCTTTAATGTCAGCTACATGTAAAATAACGTTACTTACTTTGCATTCACGTGTAAACCGAGTCCTCTTTTGTGACCCCTGTAGATGAGGGTAGATAGAAATGAAGGGTCGTATTGCTCTGAACTTGTATATCAGTGACATTTGGGATGAAAATTATTGCAATGGAGTGGAGGAATCATATTCTTCAGCAAACGATGGGCTTCGGGACTGCTTTGGGAGGTGATCATTTTTGAACGGAAAACTCACCATAAAGACATCTGTGATAATCGCCCAAAATCCCCCAACGAATAGTAAAAGAGGGTAAAACAGGCTGTGAGTTGATATTTGTCTTGATCACCATGATTAGTCCCCCCTTGTTTGGACCTGGGCCGAATTGTCATTGCTGCCTATGGCGGTCTATGTGCCTCTATTTTTGAAAGGCCTATGGGTACTGGAGGGAATCTCACTTAAAAAAATAATGATATCCACATAGAACTAAATAATTCGGGTCAAGTAATTCGTGGTCATTGGTCCTTTTTAGTCAGTTTAAAAGATTGAATATGCACAATGTGAACCTGTGATTTATTAACGTGTTTATGTTTAACTTTGGTCACTACGCCCACTGCAGGAACATCACGTGCACTTGCTATACAAACATCCTTTTCCTTTGTAATCATTTCTATACGAAACGCAACACAGCTCAACAATCCCAGACAAAATTACGTAGCAAAAAAGTACGTAGTTCTAGGTAATATTTTGAAAAAGATGCATGAATAACAATCATCGTAGGTTATTTTGGTTTTAGCAAAAGTGCATCTAAATATTAAAGCTACATATATAATTGACATGCTATAAGAGGCTTCAAATGATCACTGCCCTGCAGAATTACTGAAGTTGATACACAATTTATGTACTTCACATCCAAAACACCTCAGTAATAATGGTTTTGTCCAGTCTGCTTGGTCATGTGATCATAGCTTGATCACGCCACTGTCTGCATGACGGTAGCGCCAGTATCACAACTCGAGTGATACACTTATGGTAATTTATGCGGTGATTATAGCGTCATCGAACTTATGAATTATGTACAATGTACATGTACATGTGCATGGGTTCGGCAGTACAACTACGTGCCGGGTGTATCTATAGTGTCACTTAGTCGTAAACGTTGGTACCTTGATCCTGTCTGAACTTATTTTTTTTAAATGGGGCTTGCGGTCGCTGCCGAAGTTATAGAGCGTGATGATTGAAAGGGAGTAATAAATAACCGTCTGATATTTTCATTTAAAACCCCCGGTGTAGGGGGTTTTGCACAGAAACAAACTTTTACCACAATGTGTTAGTACAATCTAAAAACTGAAGTGTTAAATAAGGGAATAAATGTGTGCTCCGGAGGTTTTTATCACTCTGTTTAATACCACTTAGAGTCTGGGTGCTGATAATTACCCGAGCCGGAGGCGAGGGTAATTATCAGCACCCAGACTCTAAGTGGTATTAAACAGAGTGATAAATACCGACGGAGTACATATTTATTCCCATTCATAAATACCTTTTCGGTAAAAAAAAATCATATAATTCGTTCAAAACATCCCGATTTTGTTCAACAAATTCACTTTATGCTTTTGGAATCACCCCTCCTGCAAAATAATGGAGTGTTCAGCTGGCGAGTAAGATAAAAACAACCCTTTTATGGAGATTGACGCGCGCGTATCATGTTCTATGCGATGTCGCGCAGAACGCACCTGGCGCGTTGCGTTTTGAATTTAGAACTATAAAATTCTAACTCCCTGGTAGTGTTGCGCATGCCTACGTGAGGATTGTGAACGTTCAACCAATGAAACGATCAGAGGCACTGGATTTTTAGGAGTCCACATTTTATTGTGACCCTGGAAAAGTGTTTAAGACCAGCTAGCCATGTCTTTATCATCCGTTTAATACCGGCCACGTGACGGGCTCTCGACCAATAGGAATGGCTAAACTGTCTGAGGTATTTATGAATCCAACTTTACAAATGATAAGCTCGACACTTGCTATGTGTTCGGTCAGTGACCACACTTTAAAAGTTGATTCAACACTTTCCAAAATGTTACAGATTCCAACACTTTTAGAAAGTTGCAAAGGTATTGGCCCCTTTTGCAATACGATCTGTACTTTAACATGAATTGATACATCATGCAAATCAAATGCAGGTATGTATAGCGATATCCATCTGGTCACAGGACTAAGATCTAAAATTATCCTTAAATTTCGTCCGACATGAAAGTAATATAACATCAAAATATGCAGTGTTTCTATATACGATAATATCTCAGTATAAAAAAAATCTCACCTTTATTTCAACTGGTTATATCATATCATGATGGTCGGCGATGTTGGTCGATGTGTAGGACAAAAGTTTATGAAGAACGCAACGCCATATTGCAGCTCGGACAGAAAATGATCTAGTGCGCGCGCGCGACGCGATGACTCGGTATCCAATCAAATTGCCCAGTCGCCTAATACATTACTGCGCATGCGTCTATGCGGGAAAGCTCACAACACTTTTAAAATGTTAAAAGTCGCATCTTGTCACAAATTCAACACTTCAGTTTTTAGAGTGTACTAGGTTATAATGAATACTAGAATAATAGAAATATATACTAGAATAATGCATCATTTAAGCTTGCATGGTGGGCCCATATGTTTTCCTCGATTAACCCCCCCCCCCCCCAAAAAAAAAAAAATAAAAAAAAAAATATGGTAATTATTTTGGTGATACCACCAGCCATCTTGGCACAAAAATTACCCCTTGTTTCTGCATATGTGGAAAGTTTCAGCTTCACAGTTAATTTATTGTTCACTGTGGAAAATATTGAGACAAGCAAGGTCAAGTTGGTCAACTATCCCTTTACACTTTGAACACTGAATTGCATCTCCGAGGAATTTTGTGGTTATGCGCTATAGTCCTCAGACAGTACATATCGAAGTAATCGAACTTTTAGCGCGGCCTCCCCTAATCTATTCGTATTATTTTTAAACACACGTCGCCTATCGACTAAATGCCGACATTGTGTAAAATATATCCGCCGAGCACTAGGCATGCTAACTCTAGGCATGCTAACCTAGACAAACTTACACCAACCACGGACCATGGTCCGTGCACCAACTATATACTGACAGACCAGAGCCCGTGGCCCAAGCAACCGAATGCGATTGTTTATACACTAGTTGCATATAGTTCGAGATAAGGTGGCCGTACACGTACGTCAGAGCTGGCCCTGCTTTAAACACAACATTATTGATGATTAGGCTTATTCCGGGCCTGTTCATGACCGATTTCGATGCGAAACCCCTCCCCCCTCATTCCAGCTCTCCGCTTGTAGCTGCATAATTTTGACTACTGTGACGTACCGTGACTTGTGGTGACGTAAGAATAATTTATCATAAGTGTATCGCTCGAGTTGTGATACTGGCGCTGTCACGCAGTTCACTAATGGCTGTCTATTCAGTGGGATACAACCGATCTTGCCTAGACCCAAAATATGAATACATTCGCACTTTACAGAGGAGTATTTTCCTGTTGCACCCAATACAAGGTATCCCACCTTGTTCTCATAATACAGGGTCAGTGATTTGCCGGTACACATAGGTAAGTAACTACAGTGTATAAGTTCCAAATTTTTTTGCAGCAGGAATGTACGTATGACCAAGTAACACTATCAGCTCACCGCTGTTTTCAGGACGATATTAGGTTTGGGCGCATGTCCGTGTTTTAGCTCGTAAAAACGCCCTTTTGGGACCGAATGTATCCAGTCTTGTTTTGCGTAGAAACAGCTGAAAATGGAGGACGTCTTTTCAAATCACCTTTTTAAATTACAAATAAGTTTTTGATATTCGAGATATAACAATAAATCGACAGAAAAATGGCTATATTATATATATCTTTTTTATCAGATAGGACTGTGAACTTTTCGGACAGACACTTGATGAGAAAACACCTCCGAAAATTACCTTTCATTGCAATGTTCATAAGTGTCTCAATCGGAACCAAAAAAATGGTCACGTTTCGTGGGATTTTTCGTCATCTTGGGAAGTTTATTATGAATCAAGTAAATTACCATTGAAAATACTAAATAAAGGAGAACACCACTGTGGAAGACTTTTGAGAGCAAACCATGTTGGAGCCACTTATGTGCTATTAAATACAGACACTAAATGCAAACAAATGAAGCCATGTGTGCACAAATCCACATACCGGTAGCATGCAGGCACTATGCGTCCCGGCCCTGGGCATGTAGCACGGGCCAATCACGTGTCGGCATGGTTGTTTGAATTGCAAACCCTGAGTTCTGTGTTATATTGTGCAGTTGAGTGTGAAAACCACACTCCAGGTTCAGCAAACCCACCAGGGAATCCCCCATTTGCAGGCGAGTTTAGGGGTTGCTCTTTTGAAATCACCGTTAATACAACATTTAAAGTCTAATAATTGATGCTTGCATGGCAGTCTTAATACTAGCTTAATTTACTTGATTGCAGAAAAAAATGCTTTCTTTCGGACCTTTTTTTCGCTGGTTGCTTATTTCGCGAAAATACGACATCGCATTTAAAATATACGATGTATATGGTATGGATATATGTTTTTTAAAGGGAAAATACAACATTTGCAAACATCAAAAAATAAAACTACCAAATCATTTTGAAAAACCTTGCTGGACTGTTAGTGAATGACAGTGTAAAGCATCCTGTAAAATCATGGCACCTGGTATACTGTCATTTTCAAGAAAAGTGGTATTTTTGTATCAATTTCCAACGCTGATCGGCCGATCAGCGTTGGAAAAAACTGGCTTTTTTTTCCAATACTGGCCCAAATTGACCATCGCACTTGTTTGCAATCGATTACAAACCTATGAACGGGTTCGAGCCAGCTAGACTGGTTCCCTGACCTTACAATTCCACAATGTATATAAACTGCTCTGTTTCTTCTTATATAGAGTCAGGGAACCAGACTACAGAAAAATGATGTTTTTCTTGGTTTTTATATCATTTTCGAACCCAAAACCTCAAAAAAGTCAGTGTAACTATATTTGCTATATATTTCCAACCCCCCAATTCCATCTATTTCTGAAAATTACAGCAAAAGCAAATGATGTATATTCCCTTTAACCTACTTTGGGACAAATCTTTCGGCTTCACTACCGATTTCGTGCATTTATGAGCAGTTTTTTGGAAGGCCGTTCTCAGCGACTTGTTTTTTATGAACGAGCTCATGAATATTCATTTTACAGCACAACCAGGAGAAACATTAATTTTGAGTGAAACTTTTTGCTGAAAAATAATTCCGAAATGAGTGCAGGATTTTTAATCAGGCAGGTATATAGCTTTCATATAGTTCAAACTCAGAGAACATAACTTTTTTCAAGAATTTTAGCGCTCATTGCTATGTGTGGCACATGATACGGAGGAAGTCCAGCATTTGAGACACATGGGACTACCTTTAAGGGTTAATCTCAAATTGTTAACCTTGAATAGAGTGTGAACATGCGAGACAAAAAATAACTGACTCAAGACCAGTCTAGTCAATGCATAAACAAAGTGTGTCAAGGAAACCACAAGTCTGTCTGTGCATTATGTCTTCGTTTTGACACGCTCTACTCCATTTCGATATTTGAATTGAAATTTGATATTTGGGCAGACATCACATCACAGGCTGCGGTCCTCGTAGTCTTGGAGTCCAGTGGTTGAATAGTCCAGTTTTTATAGCGATTGGATACACGTAGGCCTACATGACGCACATGTACAGTACACAGTGGCGTAGCCACGGGGGGCGTGGGGGGGGGGGGGGGGCGACAGCCCCCCATGAAAGCTTGTGACCCCCCCCCCCCCCAGTCGCCCCTGAAAAATTATCATTGATCTACATGACGCCCCCCATGAAATGTTCCAGCCCCCCCCCCCCATGAAACCTTGTCGCCCCCCAGGCGCCCCTAAAAAATTATCATTGATCTACATGACGCCCCCCATGAAATGTTCCAGCCCCTCCAGCGCCAACCCCCCCCCCCCCCCCCCCTGAAAAATTCCAGGCTACGCCACTGGCCCCGGTTGACCATGCACACCATGGCTCGAACTATAGTTTGATCCGGTACACTCGCTGGCCCCGTCCAGCTGTTGCTTCCCCGTCACTGTAGCGGTCCGCTCCCGCTTCAGTCCGGCCGTCTCTGCGAAGCGAAAGCTCGTACCGTGCCCACTCGGTTCAGCTAGAATCTTTGGTATACTTGGTTCCCCCAGTTAGTGTTGTGAGACTCCGATACCGGTGTTGAAACCAAGGAAAAGCCTGACGTTGGAGGAATCCCCACGAAGTTAAATAAACCAGTAAAGTCACTGAGTGAAAGCTCTGTTTCCCGCCAAATTCGTTATCATAGATAATAATGTTGATTCTAATATAAAGTTAATGAACTAATAGGGAATGCAACAATAATTTCAGGAATGAATTGCAGGGCAGCTCCGTCGCACAGCCTTTAACGTTTCACCACTTGAAACTTAGAACTGATAGACACATGGATTACAAGATAAGAGAACTGTGCAATTGCCTCATTGATGTTCTCCGAAGTCACCGTGTTAAAATTAGAAAAAGTTTTAACTATGGAAGGTTGTGAATCTTTTTTTTTTTAAACTGAGGGAGGAATTATTGCAGTCATATTTATTTTATCGTCAATGTAAAATTGTATCTTATTTCATTTTGTTCCCGGGTATTTTCTTGTTGTTTCTTTAGTGTGTGTATTTAATGTGAGTGTAGACGTATGTATGTCAACTAGGTTGTTTGTTTTTATGGTTTGCATTTTTCTCTCTGGGGAATGGGATTGCTTTCGTTTCTCGGTTTTGTTTGGTTTTGTTGGTAATAATCTTTTAAGCCCGTTTGTCATTCATTCCCGTTATTGAGTCTGGTTGTTTGTTTTTGTTTGTTTGTTTGTTTGTTTGTTGGGGGTGTAAGAGTATTTGTTTATTAGTTCGTTTTTATATTTTTGTATCTGTCTGGCTTGTCCAATGTTTCACTCTATGATTTTTTTGCTGAGTCTTGTCTCATCTCCCCGTCTTGTCTCGTCTCGTCATGTCTCGTCATGTCTCGTCTCGTATGATTTGTACAATTTACTTTTCAATAGTACTTTCATTTTTATGAATGGAATTTTAAATCTGTTTTATTGGCAGGGGTTTGGATAAATGTCTGATGACAATTGTTTTTTTTTTACTTTTACATATCCGTGGCAGCCTGTTCAACTTTTAGCTTTTATTTTATGTTTTAAAATTTAAAATAAAATAAAATAATTGAATCATATAAATCAATTAAAGTTTCTTCAAGTCTTTATTACGCTGGAGATTTCCCGATCGCAGTACATAATGAGAGGCAGCCCAAATAGGCGCGACCTAATCCGGCCAAATTACGATTTGTATACTAGTTTATCTGTAATAATAAAGAATTTTGGCCCCTGCACTTGAGGGTCTGTATTTGTAGAAGTGAAGGGTCCATGTTCCTGAATTTAGATTTCTGAACCAAACATTTGAATGGAATCTATATTGATATGGAGTGGAAGGAATCTGTTTGTTTTTGTTTTGTTTTCAAAATGGCGATGGGGTGATCATCGTTGGAGGGAAAAATCACCTAAAAGTCATAGGTCAACCCCCCCCCCCCAAAAAAAAAAGATTTCCAAAAAGATAAAGAGGATTAATTCAGCTTTCATTTGATGTATGTTTTGATCACCTGTGAGGGTTCAGAATATGTTCCCCGATTTGTTTAAATCGGGGTATTTATCTTTGGTGCCTATGGGAATTTATGTATTTGTGGATTCCCAGCACAACTCCTCACAATAAGCCCAGTGTTAACAATATTTCTCGTTGTGGGTCTGAAAATGAAAATTGTCGGTTTGTGTATTATGGATATGATCAAGTGAAATTATTTATGCAGTATTTTGCCCATTTCCCTCAAAATTGCATAGTGTAATATTGTACATTTTTAACAATTTGCTAGAATATGTGATACCTCACCAACAAGTATCTTTTAACGAAATTCAATCAGAATATTTATCAATTGTTAAATTTTTTTTTAGTTGTGTTACTTGTTGGTGTCCCTGCCACACTGTACGATGGTGTAGCCGTGCGTTATGCACGTGGATTGTGTACTTTCGTTTTGACGGGGACTTTACTGAATAGAGTCTGGTGACTGTACATAGAAATTTCTTTGAATAAAAGTCGAATCGTTCCTTTATGTGCACTTGTTATGCAAAGCAGGGGCAGTGGTTCAAGGATATCTAGTATGTCGACTTGCAGAAAGTGTGCAAGAACGCGACTTGAATGCTTTTATGAGTTCACAATACAACGACGCTGTTTAGTTATTTCACTGTGTGACACAGTGAGAAATTTTGGAATCATAATGGCGTCAGCGATACTTGCTGGGGAGCTCTTGCGTACGACTTTCTGTACTTTGGTTCTGTTGTTTCCAGGACAATTGTGTGTACAGTAACCCGACGTACCCAGATTATTATATAATCGATGTTGGTCGAGACTCACGGTGAGTTAGAAAAATTGTTAGTACGTTGTAAGTTCACGGACTCCGTCGGCTGCTCATCGAAGAACCGTGCTCCCCATATATATGTGTATTTAACATGTTTTGTTACAGCGAGGGATGACAGGCGCAATAGGAAATAATTTATTTCCGTTTGAGCTTGCGAATTAGGAAATAACTATCTTTCTTTGTTTTTTTAATCTTTTTTTTCCATGGAAAGTGAATTTCGATTTTCAATTATGTAGCTTGACCCACCCACCCACAATTTGGAAAAAAGATCGAAATTTTAAAACATTGCAAATTCTGAATGGCCCCTAAGGATCTCACATTTGTCCTCAAACATTGTATCAGATGAGGAATGAGTGAGATTTGCCTCACCTAGGCAGATTTTTCTGCACTGTATCGTGGTCCAAATTCGAGACGAACATTGCAACGGTGGGACACTCTTTGCCTGCAGGACACGCAAATAATGCTGGGATCATCCAACTCTTATTGTGATTGTTGATTCATTATTTCTCAGCTGATGCTAAAAGCATAGTCTTTCTCCAATCTGGACAACGAAACAACGCAGCATGGACTGTCAGGATGAAGCAGATCTTAGCAGGCCATCTACATGTGCAAAACAGGCCGCACACAAGCATCTGGAGGTACTTGTTCTTTTATAGTTGTTCACTAAACTAATCAATGTTTTTAAACACATTTTTCAATCATCAATTGTGTCTTTTAAGTAAATCCCAGTGTATATAGTTTACCTTGTGTGTGTACATGTTGTTTAGACCCAAGATGTGTTTTCCTTTTTAATAATTCCCAGTGTACAGTGACGAGAATGATCTAACACAGAAAGCCCTATACATGCCCTTACCTTCTCCTCCACTGCATGAATATTTCCTGATTACAAAGTCTTAAATGGAAAGGTTGTGCCGATATTCTGTACACAAGGTTATAGTTTTGACTGATTTTGGTGGGGGCAGTGAAGTAAAATCCTAAAATTTGGAATTGGTGACACTTATTTTTTAGTTTCCCATGGTTTCCCAAAATAACGCGATAATTGGGTACATGTATAGTCATCCGGTGTAATGCAAAGTACATGTAGTGTCCGCCTAGTATTAGCATTGTCGAGAATATTGCACTTTTGACTACATTGTGCGTCCAGACGGCGCCGTAAGCAGACACTCTTTGGTACCGGACAATTTTTGGCATGACACCAGGCCCTGCTGCTCGTCGAGCAGGCGCTAGGCGTGCGTGCGTGGCCCCTGGATACGATTTTGGACAGCCAGGAGAGGCCTTCCAAAAGGGCGTTTATCGCGTTTTGGATTAAACTCTTCATACATTTGTATCTACAGTGTGTCCCAAAAGGGCATCCCACAAACAAACGGATGATGTGAACAGACTATGAACTTATGGACCATAATTATTTATGATTTGTATAGACCAGTAAGCTTTCATTTATGTCTTAGATCCACTCCTTTGGTCATGAATCACCGAGTGGGGGATAAGGGATCATGGTATGACCAAAATCCTAAAATTGCCCGGTTTAGGAAATTCCAAGGGGGAGGGAAGGGGGGGGGGGCGGGCTGGACACCACATTGCATAAGGGGGCACTGTTTATGGCACAAAAGTACATCTATATGGTATAGTCTGTTTTCGAACTATCTATCAAATGGGAAGGATGGGCCCGTTTTTTTCTGTAACAAGATGGTATTGTCTGGTTTCCGAACTTTCTTTTAGGAAGATATTAGTCACAGCCAAACTATTGATGAGTTTTCATCATGCTGATTCAAGTACTACAATTTTTTTTTCATTGACTATAAGAATAATTGTGCAACAGCGAAAAGTGATTCCCTTAAAAAAATCCTGGCTCAAATGATTATGGCGAGATTTACTTTTAGAAACTGGAACAAAAGAAACATGGAATCAAGGATTTAAAATGGAATTCTCAAACAGCTCTAGTTTTTCCTATTAAAAAAATGAGATCTTTTGAAACAAAAATGTTTTCGTTAAATAAATGCAAAAAAAACCCAGTTTCCTCAAATAATTCGAAAAATTTCAAACGTGATCAAAGAACGAATAAAAAAAATCAATAAGAATTTAACAAGGGGATAATAAATCTTTGCCAAAGAAAAAAATTACGATTGGATAAGCTTTTAGGAGAATACGAAGGAAAACAAGGTCCATAAAAGGGAGAAATGGAAAAAAAAACAGGGGATAACCCACACAGCACATTTGGCAAATCACTCCCAAAATATACATGTACAGACATGATCTATAAACCAAAAAACGGAGCAGACACTTGTGGGAATGAAAAGTGCGTGCAATACAGCAAAGAAAATAAGGGCTTGTGTCTTGTTTTAAATGTGGCTTGACCAGGTTGCAACTAATAAAGGCGGACTTGTGGGCCATACTTCGAGCGTCTGATATATCTGAGAATGGAAATTTTATGCAACCCCTAATCCAGAATGACCCAGAATTATGCCGATTAAGTGTATTCGTAAGTTACTCGTATAAAATTTTTTTGATACACTTTTTTGATACATTTGCATTGATTTGGCATGATTCTGGACTATTATAACACCAAAACAACTCAACGAAACTTGCAAGAATGCTGTAAGAATGTCCAGAATGCTTTGAGAATAAACAGAATAAGTTACGAATACAACAAGAATAAACTAAGAATTGAAATTGGTTCCCGAATCACCCCGACAATTTTGAACATGTCCAAAATTGTCGGGGCGCTTTCCGATAACAGAATCATCCAAAGGCAGCCAAGAACCATTCCCCGATTTACTCAAGAATTGTTATTATCGGCGATTCGGGAATGTGTGACCCAGCATAATGTAAATACGAAAAATCGTGCTAATTCGCCTGATTGCTACAAACAAGCATTTAGACATCGAAATGAATAATGAAAACGGACCATACATATGGGCCTACATAGAAAGGGAGCAAGCTTTGTGAATTAACTGAAAAAAGACATATAAATATTAATACAAGATTTCGATATATTCCATTGTTTCCAACACATGTCTGCGTGACATGTTTTACGTTGCTGAAGTATGTTCCATGGCTCGAGCATGTCCCAATTTGGCTCTTATTTTTTCAACGTCATTGCTTTTAATGTAGTGATTGGAAATAGTGTATGAATATTGCATTCATGGATGCCTTATGTTCTTTCACTAGACTCACTGCGCCATGCGAAAAAAATCTAGTTTATTTTTAACTTTGGTCACAATGCCCACTGCAGGAACGTCACGTGTATATCATATACAAACAACCTTCTCAACCTTCAACCGATGCCATGGGGTATATAACCCCCCCCCCCCCCACCACCACACATTTTGACCGGGGACTAATGGGGCTATGGGCTATTGGATCATCCCCCCTCCCACTTGTTCTTGGTGTGGAACCAAAAAAAGGCTGATGTTGAGGTATTTTTCGAACTTGCCAACAACCAAATGTATTCAATAGTACCAGAAAAGTCGAGAAAAAAGTAAAAAAGTACAAAAAAAGTTAAAGGGCGTAAGTATACATAAGATGTGCATCTGTATCATTAACAGCGCCCTTACTGTCGTGTGGTGTCCAGCAAGCCCCCCCCCCCCCTCAGTCCCCGGCACAGATATACGCCACCGGCCGTAGCAAAAGTGCACCATTAATGACCTACACATGTATAATCAACATACTATAAGCGACATCACACGATCACTGCTCTGTAGAAATAATGGTTTTACCCAGTCCGCTGGGTCATGTGATCATAGCTCTGTCACGTCTGTGACGCTGAGGGTGACCGTTTTAGCCGATTTCGGCTAGATCTGACAAATTTGTTTTGGACAAAAAAACGAATCCAGCAGAAAATCTATTTCTAGCAAAATTCTGTAAAATCGGTGATCCTAGCAAAAAAAAAATCGCAGATTTGGTAAGAAGGGCGTAAATCATGTAAACGAGACGTACCGTTCAATTTTGGGCTCTTCGAAATTTGATGTACGATCACAATTTTCAGCCCCTAAGCCTGCTCTCAGCTGTATCAGATCAACGCTGGCTAGCGGGATTCCGTCCACCGATGCTCACTTCACAGATCATCTGCAGGATAAAAATACCTACTCTTTATTTCTTACTCTCACCGACCCCTCTGAAATCTGTCAAGTTGTTCATGAACTTGAAAATGCCAGTTGTGGGTTTGATACTATCTACCAGTAGTTAAATCCTGCATTCCCTTCATCTCTCCTCCTCTTGCGCACATTAATAAATTGTTCGTACAGGTTACGTTCCTTCTAATCTAGAAATAGCAAAGGCAACTCCAGTTTTTAAAACCGGTCACAGCCGTGAATTTTCCAATTATCGGCCTTTCTTTTTCCTTCGATGCTTCTCAAAAATATTGGAAAAGCTTCTCTCCAAATATCATCTTCTTTATGATTAACAATTCGGCTTTTGGAACAAGTATTCCACAAGTATTTGCACTTATCCATCTTGTTGATTACTTCGCTCGTACCCCTGCCCTGCAAACAGGACGCTGAGATACTTTGATGAATTCACGCTCTGATTGGATAGATTTTGCGTGACCTATGGCGAGGGCATGACCTGCAAGTCATCACGGCCACGACCCCTGCAAGGTTTCAAACGGCTCGCGAACGGCCGTTAAGACTGATTTATTACTCTTTTATTCCAATTCATAAATGCTTTTGTTTTCATCGAAAAAGCGTTATAATGTAGAAATTTGCAATTCCGTCACTTGCTATAAGGCTCCGTTTCGAAGTCATGAAGGGTTAATGATTGCATTATGCGACGCTCAAAATTTGTTCACATGGACCGCAATGAAAAAGAAATCACGTCCGGCGCATTTCTGGGAGAAGTTTTCGGATAGCATTCGCGCGCATTGTCTAACTGCGGTCTTAAACAGCTACAGCCAGATACTTTATTATGTCATACGTCACTTCCTTCACAAGATTCTGTAAAGCTCATCAGCATATCCAAGCGCCCTGTGTGCAGGGGGGGGGGGGGTGGGTACGAGCGAAGTTGATTACATCTTTAGCTGTCTCTCTCTTTCTCTGATAAAATGCACTCTGTTAGTGTATTTGTTGATCTTTTTTTATATAAGGCTTTCGATACAATTGACCGTGTCTTGAGCGTATTTTTGAATAGGCGGATTTTGGCGCTATATGAATGTTCATTATGATTATACATGTTTTTATTATTATTATTGTGGGAGTCCCGATATTGTAGGAAACCGTGGCTATGGGTCGTAGAACTTTAAATTAGGGGTTCCATTTTACTATGACACCGCTGCTGTATATTGCGTGCGGAGGGATTTTCCCCTATGAGAAATATTTTGTGTGCACAGCATGTTGGGCAGTGGGATTCTCCCCAATGAGAAATAATTTTGTGTTGAGTGGACGATGAGGAATTCGAACTGACGCAGTTCACTGATGGCTGGCTATTAGTAGGATGCCATCGATTTTGACTATGAATAAACTTGTACTTTACAGATTTATTTTTCAATCGCAACGAAGGCAAGGTTTTCTCGCCATGTTCATGATCCAGTGTCGGCGATTTTCCGGTACACCAAAGTATAGGTAAGTAACCACAGTATATAACTTGCCTATGCAGCTTGTTTTTGCGGCAGAAAGGTAAACATTGTATATGGCACAATGTCACATGATTTAAGCCTACTCGAGAAAAGTGAGACATAGGCCTATTAACCTGAACAGGTCCTGCTCCTCATTTTTGTCCAGAACCTCCCTGCATCCTCAAATTTCTTCACGAGAAACCAGTGAACAAATTATCTTGATTTCTTTTTCATTCTTTTTTTCAGAGAAAATAAACAAGTCCCATTTATACTACAAAATAGTTGCGCGACTCTATCATTCTCTGTCCGACAAAATCCTACAGAAAATCCCGACGCTTTTGTGGTTTAATTTATATTGTTTGTGCTGTTACCTTGTCGCGAACGTTTCTTCATGCCACATATTAATTCACTCCACATTCACCTGTATTATGTTAAATATTATAAAAAAATAGGCCCGTTTATTCGTCTCAAATACTGTACCGTATTATAAGCCACATCAATGTGTGCTAAATTTCCTTAAAATTATGTTCCCCAAATTTGAAATCTAGACTCGATATTCACCTGGGGGAAAAAAAATCAATTCTCCTACATACTATAGGCGCCTATATAGGGCCTACTGTAATTGTTAGGGGCATTCATGCCGAGCAAATTGTCAAAAATGACTGCGTGATTTTGTAGAGGATACTCACATGTGTAGACGTACTAGAATATTATATTTCCAGGTAAGAACATAATGCCTTCATATACATGTAGTTCAAATACAGGGAACATAAATTTTGTAGGACATTTTCTGTGTGGCTCACGATATGAAGGATGTCCAGTATTTTTGACACATTTTGAGGCTGACTAATAAGAGTAAAAGGGTGAATCTCAAAATTGTAAGCCTTTGATTATATGTTAATGGACTAAAAACATTCGAGACAATGAAATAGACTGGCCCAAGACCAGTCTAGTCAGTGCATAATGAGCACAGTGTGTCAACAGAAACACAAGTACTCTAAGGCCAAAAAAAAAATTCTCCGGTTTCTGGTATTAAGCTTGCCCCAAAAGTGGTGCGGCGACGCAGCTTTTTTTTTTTTTTACCTGTTTTTTTTTTTTTTTTTTTGGCTTCAAATGTCGGCTGATGACTGCAAATGGTGCCCGACTAAACTTAGTGCAAATATATGGGAGTCCAGAGAGGCCACATAAATCTTATTCTTGATCATAACCCCATCTAAAAACACGTTAAAATTGTGCAGCAGCAGAATTCCAGTCAAACCAGTGAGTTTGGCGGTTTTAAAACATCATCTTGTATTGAAAAAAAACCTTTTTCATTTTGCCGACGCGCATGGCTACGGCGACGCGCGCTCATACCAGAAACCGGAGACTTTTTTTTTTGGCCTAAATGTGAACGAGTGACAAACCACTCTTTTTAGGAGCCGTGGGGAACAATAATTTTTGCGAGTGATTTCTTTCCAACCTTCTAGGGTGAGGCTTGCATCTGTTTAATTGTTTTTTCAATTTTTCTAAAAAGGTAATTAAGTTCCACTCTTTTTAACCCTAACCCCCTGTACGTGGCTGTCATGGACCAAATACCATAGAATATTACATGTGTTGTGCACACTGGAAAGAAATGCATACTACAGGTTCCATTAGTATTTTGTAGCTTTAGGGTTGGTTGTAGGGTTAAAGAGCAATATGGGGGACACCTTCGAATGATTTGTCACTCTTTTACATTGAGATACTCTGTGCATTCTGTCTACCGTTTTGACACACGACTCCTTGTTAGTTTTTGAATTTAGACTTCAAACTTAATCCGTGATGTATAAGCATCTCACCTCCGCCGTCAGAATTAGTTTTATCAGGGGTGTGAAATCTCAGCTTTAAAGCTGATTTCAGCTTTTTTTGTTATGGATTTCAGCTCTTTTTTCAGCTTTTTCCCTCACTTGCTGTGTACAAAAGTATAGGAGATTTCCAAAGTTCTGCTTTTTTACACTTTTTCCAGCTGTTTTCAGCTATTTTTATCAGTGGTCTCTCACACCCCTGTTTATATGAAGAGTTAGTGAAAGTATCCTTAATTTAATATGCTTGTTTTTTTTCTGCACTCGTGGTAAAAAATTGAGACGAACACTTCAAACGGTGGGAAACATTGATTTTGCATTTAGGGCACACAAAGAACGCTTAGATCATCCAACTATAGTTGTGACTGTTGATTTATTGTTTCTCAGCTGATGCTGTAAGCATCGTCTTTCTCAATTCTGGACCACGACACAACACAGTATGGGTGCAAAAAAACGGGCTTCTGTCAGGAAGGGGGACATTCAGGATGGAGCAGGTCCTAGCAGGCCAAAAAGAGCAACACCAGCAGGTATGTGTGGTTACATGTCATTCTACTTTCGCCCGCCTATTTCATAAATCTTGTTCTGGCATCTACATATTAAGTGAAGCTTCAGGGAAGTGGTAACTTTAGTTAAACCAGATAGCCCAACTGCAGAGAAAAAAGAACACGATGGCCAAAGGTCAGAGCTTCGGTTTCCATTTAGTCTTTATTCCACGGTAAACTGTAATGAAAAATAAACAATGGCAAAATTAAGTATGTCGTTCAAATCAAACTCTAAAATCATGAAAGTGACCTTAGTTAGAGCAGGTGTAGTCTAAATTGAAGGGAAAAGTCAGCTCCAAACGAAGGAACAACTTATAAACGAGTCTACAGTGGTTTTCTCAAAAACCTTAAAATAAGGGATGGCTCCTGGGTATGAGTGTACGGAGACCGTATGACAGAGCCGCGGGGCCCAGTTTCATAAAGCTGCTTAAGCAGAAAATTTGCTTAAGCACAAAAAAACATTGCTTAGTAAAATTAGGTTACCGGCCAAAACTCCATGTGATGTACATTGCTTGTGACTGGTATTTAGCTGTTGTTTACTTAGCATAACTATCGCATGGAGTTTTGGCCGGTAACCTGATTTTATTAAGCAAGACGTTTTTGTGCTTAAGCAAATTTTGTGCTTAAGCAGCTCTATGAAATTGGCCCCGAGGCTACATAAGCTAAATACAGGGATCGCTCCTACTCGAAAATTTGGCGTAAAAACGCCCGCGGGTTTAAATTTCTCAAACGAGGGTTTATAATCTACCCAGAAAACGATATAAAAATACTTTAAATAGAACTGGGATCTAAAAAATCCAAGTAGAACTACTTTAAAACCGTAAAACTAGGGCAGGCCGTTGGAGACCAAAGTTTAACGTTAAAACACAGGTCACTGAAGAAAATTCACAAAAAAAAACCCAGTAATAACATAGAAATCAACTTACGTGACTGAGGGTCCTAGAGGGGGTGTCAAGGTAAGGAGCGGTGGGTTCGATAAGGACTGAGATTGATGGTTTGAACTATTAAATTGTGAATTGTTAACAAAAGTGGGTGACGAAAATGGCTTCTCCAAAAATGTGCTCTCCTCGGCTCGAGTCAGTGGCCAAGATCGAGTGCGCCCTCTCGTGTTGAGAAAAGGTAGGCGCCGGAGGCCGCTACAGATTTAAAGACCGTTTTTGGATTAAACGACGTCGGATTTATGAGGCATCGCCGCATCGGACTTATGTATGCCGCCTCATAGCTCCGACGCCTCATAAGTTCAATGATTATAAGAATAATTGCACCAAGTATCACAACACACTGACTCAGGCCAAACCATTTTGACGTTTTATCTGATTAGAATTTGGACTGCCTGGGTAGAAGGCCAAAGAAACAAAATAAACAACACAGAGTTTGTGGACAAACAACAGCTGTTTCGGCTGTGACATGTGATGAGGACATGACCACGCTACTTCTAATTCACAGATAACACATCCCAGTTTTAAATATATATATGCATGTAAAACTTACTTGGCATATTTCTATCATTATGATTTGCAGAATCCTGTATAAAGGACAAAACTCTGTCCATAGTCGCTAGGAAACTTGGTCGTGAATGGGTAACACTGGCAGTTGAGGAGCTGGGCTTTACCATGACAGAGGTTGGGACTATCGAGGCAAATCATCCAAAGGATACCACAAGGCGAGGTCTCGATATGCTTACAAAATGGAAACAGGCCCAGCTCATCGGTTTTGAACAGCAGATTATCACGTTGCGCACAGCGTTGGAGAACATCGGAAGAGCAGATATTCTTCGCGGTAAATACATGTCTCTGGTAATAAGCCAGTTCGGTATTCCAAAACAAGGGCGGATCCAGGGGGGGGGGGGCAAAGGGGGCCATGCCCCCCCCCCCCCCAATACGTAATCAATTTTTAAATTTTTTTATGTGACATCGCAATAAAGGCAGGCAATGAGTACACCACCATCTTTTCCTCATAAAAAATTGGTTAAAGTGGTCAGAAATTGCCTCAGATCGCACCACAGAGCATCTAGAATCCAAAATTTTTTCGGGGCCCTTAAGCGGGCCCCGAACGCCACGCCGTAATTTTTTTGACCCACTTTTTTGGGGGACCAAATTTTTTTTGGGCCCCCCAAAAAATTGTGTTCTGGATCTGCCCTTGTTCCAATATAGTCTGGTGCACAACAAGATTCCACGGTTATTTTTTGGGAATAAACGCGGCAAATAAATGCACACAAAGCTATGGGGGACGTGGTAACCGAATATGCGTTCTGTGTAATTTTTCGTGCAATCGAAAAGAGATGGAATCTTTTGTTCGCACAAAAGTTTGCACACACAAGAAATCTAAAAACACTTTGCTGTCTAAAAATTTTTTTGCAAAATGTTACTTCAAAACATGGTGATCTCTTACTGATCTCAAGCATACGATGAACACATGCGCAGTTGGAATACCAAACTGGCTAATGTGAAGTGGAATTTTTAGAAATTGAATCCATATATTCCATAGTAATATTGAACAAAAATTAGTAAAATAAATCGTTTACTCCACTCATGAGATGCGTTTCTGAAAGCGGTTGCATGTCAATGATTTTATGTTATAATGTCAGTGAAACCGCAACAAATCATTTAATGCATTTTTTTCTCTTTTAAAAAACGGGAATGACACTGGAATTGATTGTTCAAAATGCCATATTTTGTGATTGTTCTTTTTGTTTATGTTCACATCCATTGGTACATGTTAACCACACAAGTCCAGGTGTTATTTTGTGATTTTGTGATTTTTGACTGCGAAAGCTCTCCCTTAAGCAGCAACACACACACTTTAAAGTTGTGTTGCCTGTTCTCTTCAAGAAATAGGGCCTATTTGTTTTTCTATTTTATTACATTTTTCAACTAATATATGTGTAATCCAACCAAACACTTATTCCTTTTTCCCTTTTTAGAATTTTCGGGGCACATCTGCAACCCTCTGAAATTTTATTTTGTTTTTGAGCAAACTGGCTCCCGGTCCGTGCAGTACTGATAGTAATTGTGTAGCGGAAACCAGCCTACCCTGGGATGATGGAATTATATAATTGTCTGTGACCAAAAATTTGGAATTGTAAAGTAATACTTGATGATTTTTTTTCAGTCGATATCTCATGAGCCTACTTTTGCATTGCTAGAAAAAAATGTAGAATAGGAATATTTATTTTTGAGGTAAAACTTGAAAATTGCATTGGGAATGCAGCTTTAAGTAGGGGCAAATGTACATGGTTTAACGCAAGAATTATGAGCATATATTTATTTTTTTGTTTGAGACCATCATTTGCATGGGCGTAAATACCGGAGGATGGGGAGGATAAATCCATGTTCTGTGGAAAACACTGATGTGACTGTCACAGGATAATGGGCACCACGCAAAATAACACGATGAGAATAATAAGCATATTATTATTTGTGGCTTTTCCGCCAAGTTGCGGAAAAAGCCTTCTTTTTCCTTTTCATTCATTCGTTAGACATAGGCATTTGCACGTGGTCTCCTCCTCAAATTATACACAGTTGGGATCACTGGTGCCGCTCCCACCACAGCCCGTCTTTCCAGTGCTGCTGCTTTCAGTTCGTTGGTGTCACACCCAGACCATTCACGGATGTTGTCCACCCAGCGCATCTTTGGCCGGCCCACGGAGCGACGACATCCCACTGGCATCCCATCCATAACAGCTGCCGCCATGCCACCATGCTGAACCACATGGCCCAACCATGCTGCCTTTCGTTGCATCACAGTGCTACTGCTGAAGCACCACCGGTCGCCGATCATCTCCATCAGTCTTTCATTTGTCACATGATCTTGCCACTTGATGTTGAGCAGGTGACGCCAAATGGTTCGGCCAAAACTGTCTAGGCGTTTGATGTCAGCTGCCTTCAACGACAGGGTGATGGCACCATACAGTACCCTTGATATGACTAGGGCCCGAGCAAGCTGTACCTTTACCTCAAGGCTGACGCAGGGGGAGCGCAGATACTTGCACTGCCGAAGAGTGGATCTGCCCATACCTAACCGCATCCGAACTTCCTTGCTGTCGTCTAGTGTGTGGTCGATCAACACTCTTTTTGTTCCAACCCAACTCCTGGCATAGACTTTGCACATGTTTTATTCTTGCCGGCACTTGTAATAGACATAAAACAGAATCATATCCCAATAAAAGTTAACATAGGCAAAGACCTTATACGTAGGACCTATGTAGAATAGTGATGTCATGCTTTTAAGCATCCTCTACCTCCTCAGCTGTCTTTCTCTTTCTCTTTGTCTTACTGTCCATACTGTCCATTCAATCTTTTCGTACTCTCCTCTCTCATTCCTCCATCCTATACCACTCCCTTCTCATTTCCAATGAACATTTACACCTTTTCTCCCATTTATCGACCAATTTCGGGTGGACAGGACCCGTGGGTCTTGGACGGCAATTGTCTATGAGTGAAGCCCGATAGGCAGTCGTATAGATGACCTCCTTGTGTCTCTGGCAGCTTCTGCAGCAGAATCAGCTCCAGAATCAGCTCCAAATTTACAAGCTCGCTTTCCCTTTGGATCCAACTGATGAAGCCGAGAGGAAGATACTAACGATTGGGCTATCTAGTATCCCCATAATATCAACTGCACAGGCTCTTTAAACTGAAGAGTACATTTCAGTCGGGCCTTAATCCAACCCAGAAAACAATCACGGGCGACAGCAGTCACGAGTGATAAGTCCCTCTCGATTGGCGTAGATACGTGAACGTTACGGGTTGTTCCGGCAATGGGAGGGACCATCGTGTTCCACTGGTAAGTTGCCGCCCGCCTGAGCTTGGAAGTCCCGAGCCTGTCCGCCAGTGATTGTTTTCCCCCAAACGACATCCGCATGTGGTGTACGCTATGACGTTTTGGACTTTACTTCTCTTAAAAACATGAGACAAAAAATATAAGATTAGAAAAAAATGAATTCGAAATAATGAAATTCGGACTTTATTTCCCAAAGACTCAGATTTAAAAAGAGATCTGGTAAAAATGGAGTTTCGAACCCACAACGCGGGGATCCCTCGCGGTACAAAATCACGACCCACGACCCCATCAACTGAGCTATGGAACTGCTCGACAGTTTCTGGGAATTCATCGTAATATATACCTGCGTACGTCACAAAAAATATGTAGAGGGCCCTCAACAGCCATGTAATGTGGATGTTGTTTGGGGAAAAATAATTCGCGACCCGCAACAGTCTGTCTGCTTCACCAGGTGCTTGGAGCTTCAAGGATTTACCCTGACAAGCAGACTGAATATCATGCACCTATGAACAACAATAAACACAATGTACTAAAATATCCAACAATGAAAATGACAGGCTGGAATGTCAGCACTATGTGCCCTGGCATGAACGACGATAATTTGTCAATGATCAGCGATGACAGAAAACCGCTGTCATGGATAAAGAGCTGGACAAACCCAACATAGATATTGCTGCACTGTCTGAAACCACATTAGCAGAGAGCATAATTATCCCTGAGGTAAGAACACTATTCTTTCTTCTGCTTTGGGAAAAAAAAACAGGAAGAACGAAGAGAACATGACGTCGGGCTTGCCATTAATATGAACAGGTTGTTGCATGCCTCAACTTTGCCCTCACACTGCTAGGTATGAGAGGCTCGCCTCGTTGGGACTTGCTACCTCAATGGCTTCACTACAAGTATCTCAGCCTCTACGCACCTACGCTTTCCTCACAAGTATCTCAGCCTCTACGCACCTACGCTTTCCTCCTCAGCTGAGGAAAAGGACAAGTTCTATTATGCACTTCACTGCCTTCTTCAAAACCTCCTTTTTTTACCTGGTGACCGTTATCCCAGGGTAGGCACTGACTATGCTGCCTGGCCAGAGTGTCTTGCTCCCACGGAGTGGTCAATCTAAACAAAAACGGACAGAGGCTTTTGGAGCTTCGCAACGCAAACAGCCTCTGCTCACCAACTCCTCCTTGTACACAGAGCTACAATATAAGGTGTCTTGGAGGCATCATAGATCGCTACATTTGCATCAGCTTGACTTTGTTTTGACCAGAAGTAAGGATCTTCACAGCTTTTTGATTACTCATACCTATCACAGTGCTGACTGCGACACGGACTACTCACTGGTCTGTTGCAGAATCAAACTGCAACCAAAGAAACAGCACTTTATTAAACAGACGAAACCTCATATCAACATCATACAGAATATTATATAGCTTTTGTTCACCTTACCAAGACATTCGATGTATTCATCAGAGATGGGCTCTTCAAGTGCCTGGATGTATACTTACTTGGCGTATTTCTATCATTATGACAAGCGGCAGGTTGTATTATAAGTTCTGCTTTCCGGTTTCATTAGTCACTTATAATAAAGTCAGCAATTGGGAAAATATCAACAATTTCAATTATTTGCGTCATATACCTACACATGTATAACTTACTTGGCTTATTTCTTTCATTATGATTTGCAGAATCCTGTATAAATGACAAAACTCTGTCCATAGTCGCTAGGAAACTTGGTTGTGAATGGGTAACACTGGCAGTTGAGGAGCTGGACTTTACCATGACAGAGGTTGAGACTATCGAGACAAATCGCCCAAAGGATATCATAAGGCAAGGTCTCGATATGCTTACAAAATGGAAACATGCCCAACCCACCGGTTTTGAACAGCAGATTAGCACATTGCGCACAGCATTGAAGAACATCGGAAGAGCAGATATTCTTCTCGGTAAATACATGTCTCTGTCCGAAATAGAATCCACGTATTTAGTAATAATTGCACAAATTGGTAAAATACACCCTTTGCTCTACTCATGAGTTGTGTTTCTAAAACCGGTTGCACGTCTTTGATTGTGTATTCTTATGTCAATGAACCGCAACAAATCATTCAATGCTTTTTTTTCTCTCTAAAAACAGCTTTTAAGAATGAAAAGCAACATTAGAATTAGTTTTTTAAATTCATTTGGTACATGCTATCCATGATTCAATCTGGTGTTATTTTGGGATTTCTTTACTGCTAAAGCTCTTCTTCAATACAGCATCACACAAGCTTGAAAGTTGTGTTCCCTGTGCTCTTTAAAATTTAGATACTTTTTGACTTTCAATTGAGAGCAACCCTCTGAAATTTTATTTAGTTTTGAACACAAACAGATCCGCCTTGCGAGCAAAATGGCTCCCGGTCAGGAACCAGCGGGATCGGAATATCATTGTTTGGTGACCAAAATTTCGAAATTGTAAATAATCAGTTAGTAGCTAAACATTTACCGATTTATTCAGTCAATGACTCATTCAGAAGTGAATATTCTTACCTTAATATGCTAGAAAAATTGCAATTTAGAAAAGCATGTCTTTTTTCGAGATGAAACTTGCTAATTGCAATGGAAATTAGCTTATACCAGCGCTGAATGGTTTTACAACACAAGAATAATAAGCAAAGGGCCTATTTGTATTTTTGTATGAGACCCTCATTTGCATGGGCGTAAAGTCTGGACGATGGGGAGAATACATCCCTGTGGAAAACACTGATTTGACTTCCATTAAAGATGTGACTGTCACAGGAAAATGGACACTACAAAACGTAAAATTAAATATCAAGTGTAACTTTAAGTCTAGAAAAAAATCTGCTAAGATTCAAAGTCGATTTTTTAAAAATACCCAATATAATATCGAATTGCTCTTAATTCTGAGATGTTTCGTGGTCCATTGTTTTTTTTCCCCCAGCGTTTCCAACAGTGGCAATACAGACGAACGCAATATGGACGAAGACCGCTCGCGCTGCCGGTCACTGGGATGGAGCACGTCATCAAGTCTCGGCTGTCCTAGAATCATTTGACGGAGTGCTTGACCAAGTAAACAGTGGGTCTGTGATATTTGTTGTTCGCATCATGAGTCGGGAGGGTCTGGACAGACTCTGGAGGATGTACAACACTGGAGAACTCGCCAAGAAACTGACAGAGATTCTCAGCACGGATGAACGGACTATCCGGTCGACTATACAGGAAAGCAATTACAATCAGGCCTGCGGATTCTTTGATGAATTGGAAAAAACCCAGAGGCAAGGTACTGTAATTGAATAATACATGTACGTGTACATGTATGACATGACTGAGAAAAATGGAGAAAATTGTTTAACTCTTACTCTGGCTACCTCATTTTTCCATTCTTTTGCGATTCGACTTAACTTGATCGAGTTTAGTAACCAGTGTTGTAGTCGAGTACTTTTTGCCGAGTACCGAGTACTGCCGAGTACATAGGTTGCCGAGTACGAGTACGAGTACTTGTGCTTCCAAGTAAAAGAACAGGTCTCCGAGTACGATTTCTTGAACGTCCGAGTACGAGTACTTGTACTTAAACTCCCGAGTACGAGTACGAGTACTTGTATTCTGAGTGCGAGTACGAGTATGAGTACTTTATTTCCGAATACGGCACCGGGTACATTGTGCATAATTGAAGCTTAAATGTATGTGTTCTGTATCAATTGTGATACAAACTAGGGTTCGTCTTTCAATTATTTGAAATTAATTTGTTTTTAAATCGGCAACAGCAGCCTCAAATCAATGTAAGTAAATGTATTTTCCAAGGAAATGGCAGCTGAGATACAGACAAAGCTTAGGTCAACTGTCATTTAATAAAATTAATCTACAATCTTGTGCATTTAATTTTTATTTTTATTATCCATGTATTTTTGTGTCCTTGGATTCCTTAGACAAAAAACAGAACCACAAGTACAACAAGCATTCAAATGGCTGAGAAAAGATTTCTCTATCTCTGCTTAGTTTCAACCACTGTTCTTAGTGTTTTTACAAAAGCAGGGTGTTTCTTCCGCATATGCTTGATAAAGTTCCGCAGTATGCTTGAGGAAGTTCGAAGATGAAGTTCGAAGATGAAGTTCGAAGTTGTCCCATATGTTTCTGATATGCGAACAGCACAAAGCATGCACGCTGCACTGTGGCGTTTCACGCCATTTTGGACAAATTTCCTGTCATGATACATGCATTTTGGGGTTCTTTTTACGAACAATGTATACAATTTGGGTACAAAAAAGTGAAAAGTGCCACACAGGCAAGCGTAAGTGAACATCGACGGTACACGTACAAAGTACAAAGAACACATGCAACGTGCATACAAAAAAAACCCAGCAGATTCGCGTTTTCTTGGTGTCTACGCATTTAGTGTGCTTCCCATTCCTAGACCTCTGTTTGGCCGCCATAACCAGGCTAGCTAGGGGCCATTTTCCTAACGTCGACTTTGGCTGTGTCTCTTTCTCCATTCATGCAGATCGGCAATGGGGCTAGACCCGTATCATATGATCGAAACCGGGGTTCAGAAAACAGCTTTTCTCCAATCACCCAAGTTAATCGTACAACCATTTTGTGGAACACCTCGGCGTACAGTGTGTACAATGATTGGCCATTGTGCCCGCATACGGCAAATGGGTCATTGTGCGTAATTTGCCCAGGCCCGGTCAGACCTATATACAGACCCAGTCACGGCTAGCTGTCAATTGTGTTTGTCCGGACGTGCGTAGAGTAGAGAAAATTTCGATTTCTCCGCAATCGACCATTTAAAACTGAAAGTATAGATAAAATAAGGCCCTGTTACTGTTAGTCCAGAAAAAAATCTGCCAAGATTCTTAGCAGGAGTTTTTTTTTTTTATTTCACTTGTACATTAAATTACTCTTAATTCTGAGGTGTCACGTGGTCTTTCGTTTTGCAGAATATCCAACATTGCCAATAGAGACGGACGCATCATGGAATGGGACGGAGACCGCTGGGGCTACTGCTCATCCCAGGATGGACACGGCCGACTCATGTGATTGGGAGGGACAGGATTATACACGTCATCAAGTCTCAGCTGTCCTAGAATCATGTGACGGAGTGCTTGAACAAGGAAACCCTGGGTCTGAGACATTTGTTGTTCGTATCATGAGTCGGGAGGGTCTGGACAGACTCTGGAGGATGTACACCACTGGAGAACTCGCCAAGAAACTGACAGAGATTCTCAGCACGGATGAACGGACTATCCAGTCGACTATACCGGAAAGCAATTACAATCAGGCCTGCAGATTCTTTGATGATTTGGAAAAATTCCAGCGGAAAGGTGGCTGAATAATACATGTACATGTACACAAATTGTACATGTACGTGTGCGTGTAGATGACATGATTGTAGAAAATGGAGAAATTGCACTCTGGATGCCTCGAATTTTCTGTCATTGCCTTGAGATTCGACTGAAAGGGAGTTTCTTGTAATAACTAGTCTCAATGAAAAATATGCAGTGCAACCTGTCTTTGTCAATTTTTTTGGTTCAAACGTAACGTTTCTCTTGTCGGATATTATTTTTTTTACAGATGAAGAGGACTCAATCGGCATGATGGATGAAGAGCACAAAGAACTTGGTGAGAGCAGCCCAGCAGCGACGGCTTCTAGTAGCGATCCAGCTGAACACTCTGTAGAGAGATCGGCCGAAACAAATGAGAGATTGCATACGACCACAGGTAGATATTCGGTGGTATAATCTGTGCCAGCTGGGGGGGATCAAGGGTGACCAACATCCTAAATTAGCCCGGCCGACGGAATTCGAAAGGCAGGGAGGAGGGGGAGGGGGAGCTGGACACCCCATGGCAATATGAGGCCGCAAGTCATGACACAAAATGCAGTCCTACATCTGCAAAACGACACGCTCACAATACGTCAAGAGAGTGCCTTTAAAGCTTTTGTGGTATGCATGCTCCGTTTTGCATTTCTATTTAATGCCTCTGGAATGTTGGAAAATTTGGAAATATACCTAAAATCGGCATTTCTTGTTTCTCGCCACAAAGGTCGCAGGAACGTGTTATCCAATGGCGCATCCCTAGTTCAAGAAATGGGTGAAGGGGGTGTTTATATCCTTCCAACCCACGCCCCGGTGATTTACGCCCTTGTTGGTATTCATCAATGGGTATGGGTATCAATGAATAGGTAGATGGTGACACCAAGCAGTTCGTAATGACAAAGCCAGGATTGGTTAAGGATGGCGGTGAGACGGAGAAAAAATACCGAAGTAATGTTTTCCCTCGAGACTGATTTGGAGGCTGATATAATATGTAGGCCTACATATAATATTTATTTGTTTTTTTCAGATGGAGAGGATTCGAGCAGCATGATGGAAGTAGAGCATAAACAACTTAGAAGAAGCAGCCCAGCAACGACGAGTTATAGTAGTGATCCAGCTGAACACTCTGAAGCGAGATGGACAAACAGAGAGGAGATATTGCATACGATCACAGGTAGATATCCAGTGTTTAATTTGTGCCGGTGATTAAGAGGTATTTCCTTCACCCTAAAACTGCCCCGGCCGTCCAAATTCGAAAAGCGAGGGTGGAGGGAGGGGGGAGGCTTGAAACCACATTGCACGATGGGGGAGTTAATTCATGACACACTTTTAGTACAAATTTGCGTGCTTACTATACATCCTGATGATGTATTTAGAGCTTTTGCGTTGTTCGTTCTCCAGTTTTCATTTCTATTTGTTTGAATTTATATAGACTTTTGGAAAATTAGTAATTAACCTTAAAATTGTATTTTTTTCTCGCTACAAACATGGGGGGGGGGGGGCTGGGGGTGGGGCGGTGTGCTCCAATGGCTCATCCCCCGTTCAAAAAATGAGGTGGAGGGAGGTATATTGCCCAGCCCCGGGATTTACGCACTTGTAGAAATTTATAAATGGTCAAATGGGTAGATAGTGACACCAAGAAGATTATAATGCCTAAGGCCAAAAAAAAGTCTCCGGTTTCTGGTATGCGCGCGCGTCGCCGTAGCCATGCGCGTCGGCAAAATGAAAACATTTTTTTTTCAATGAAAGATGATGTCTCAAAACCGCCAAACTCACTGGAATCCTGCTGCTGCACAGTTTTAACGTGTTTTTAGATTGGGTTATGGTCGAGAATAAGCTTTATGTGGCCTCTCTGGACTCCCATATATTTGCACTAAGTTTGGTCGGGCACCATTTGCAGTCATCAGCCGACATTTGAAGCAAAAAAAAATCAGATAAAAAAAAAAAGCCGCGTCGCCGCACCACTTTTTGGGCAAGCTCCATACCAGAAACCGGATACTTTTTTTTGGCCTAAGCTTACATTGGTTAAGGCTGGCGATGAGACACAGAAAAAATATCCGAAGTAGTGATTGCCCTTGGTACTAAATGCGGCATACCAGGGTAATTACTTTTTGTCCTTTTTTACCACAGATGAAGAGGACTCAAGTAGCATGATGGAGGTAGAACACAAACAACTAGGAGAAAGCAGCACATCAATGACTGCTTCTAGTAGCGATCGAGATGAGCTCGCTGAAGAGAGATTGGCCGAAAAAATGAAGAGATTGCATACGACCACAGGTAGATATTCAGTGGCATCAATCTGTGCCGGCAGGGGGGGGGGGGATGGTGGATGACCAAAATCCTGAAACTGCCCGGCCGTCGAAATACGAAAAGCTGGGGGAGGAGGAGGGGGGGGGGGGGGGAGGGAGCTTGACACCACATGGCACTATGAGGGCGCTGTTCATGATACAAATGTACATATTGGCATAGCGGTAATTTCCTCCGACCCGGGTTTCATTTCTGCTTGGGCCCAGCAAGCCTCTGTACTGATGACGTTACACTTTGTTTACACGTGCGTTTTTCTATGGGAGCCTGGTGGGGACGACAGATTTGTAGCCTAATAGAAAAGCGCACAAGTAAAAAAAAGTGTGACGTCATCAGTACAGAGGCTTATTGGATCGGGTTTTATTATTATTATTATTATTTATTCGACCAAAATTACAAACAGAAATGGGCCAGGGGCAGCAAAAGTAAAAATACTGTGGTCCGCGGACGTATTGCCCCACATCAAAGTGCTTAAAAATCATATATAGAAACATAAATAGAAAATTAATATAAACCATACACAACTATATATATAGAAAAATTAATATGAAACATACACAATGTTTAAAAGACGAAATTGGCACAAAATGATTACAAACAGATATAAAAAAAAAATAAAAAATACAACTCTGTATAAAAAATGGAAGTAAAATCACGACTAAACTGCCAATGGATAAGAAAAAAAATTAAAAATTGATAAAAAATAAATATAAAAAAAACACCCACCTAACAGTCATTGGATAAGAAAAACCCCAGTCCCAACCAGAAAAAAAAAAAACCAAGAACTACAGAAGAGACAATTGAGGAGAAGTATAGATATAACCCAAACCACACTATGGTCCCAAGCAAAAGACTCAGCAGCATTAAAAAAAAAAAGATTACAAATGGATTAAAAAAAAATTAAATATAACAAAAGAATTTGTTTAAAAAAAAAAAAAAAAAAAAATCAATGAAGAATATTCCATAAAAAGGAGACAACTTGAGGTCTTACCCATGCGAGTTTAAAAAAAGCAATACAAAAAATATGTCGAAGATAAAACAGGTTTAACACTAGGGCACATGCAGATTCCTTAAGACTGCGGAGCCAGGTATGCAAGGAAACAGTTAAAAAATCTATTCGAAGCAGTTTAGGAAGTTCATCCCAAAGTACGAGTATTCCAACACTGCTGGTGCTGCTTTGGAGATCTGCTTAAGGCCTGAAATAATAAAAAATTGGTCTTTAATAAGAGTGACTTTAAAGTCAGTCAAGAGATGTATAGGTAATTTGTATACTTTAAATAAAGTGTACAAGCCTACACAAATCATGATACAACTTTGATTGATTCATTAATTAATCAATGTATTGTAGGCCTAATTAATCAGTAATGTGTTTTTTTCTTAAATACAAAAAGGACTATGTGAACTGTGACAGGCTATGTGATGCGATTGGGGCAAATGCTGAGCAAAAAAACGATTTTCTTCATGTTTCTAAAGACTACACCACCTGGTTTAGCTCAATCATCATGATAAATTAAATATTCAATCATTCAATTAAACATTCCTCATAAGTTACTATTGTTATAACGGTAACACATAATTGAATTCTAAGCTTGAACAGGCGTAGGTAAATATATACACTGCGCGGTAAATCGGCTGCACATGTAGCGAAATAGATTGATCATTATAAATTATAAGGAAAACAGGATTGCAGATGTGCCTTCGATCTCGCACTAAAATGAAATGTCAATATTCTAAAATCAGGGCACATTTTGGGAAATCGTACGCTGATTTTGTTTACGACTGAATACACTTTCATGGAAGTAGAATTATCATTTGTAAAATAGAAACAGGGATTTTGAACGTTCATTCTATTTCGCACGAAAACGAATGCTTCTTGTACAAATTCATGTACATATTGTCCAAAATTGTCCGGGAAAACCTATATATTCGTAAATATATGAAAACTATATATTTTACATTCTGTTTTGGTTAATCTTATCGCAAAGTGTACTTCTGTAAACATTTAAAAGTGTCCATGCTTTTCCGTTCTACTGAGCGCGCTGTTGCTGTGGTGTCATTTCAGGAAGACACTGTTCAGTGTAGGGGTTTTCTGTTCAAATTGTGAACCCAAAATGTGATATTTGAAACCATATTTGAAAAGGGTTGCTCATTGAAAAGGGTTGCCCATGTACCATCATAACAACGAAGCACCAAAGAAAAGGAATTTCTGACAGCAAAATAGCCACAATTGTAGCAACTTTTTGTGCTGAAATAACCGTGTAACATTAGTCTGCCCGGAATGACATCACAAATTTCCTCATGAAAATGGAACTTTGTATTAGCATAGAAACGGATAAGGCACCAAAAATCCCTTTAAACATGGAAAAACAAAACTTTAAAATAATGTTAAATACATCAGCGTAGCTACGGGGGGGGGGGGGGGGGGGGGGGGGGAGCGTTTCAATTAAGCAATCTTATTACAGAAATTAATTGCCCATAAGTGGAAAAGAAACGAAAATCAAGTGCACCGACGTTCGCTAATTTGAAAGCGTCAACCATCAAAAGATTTCAAAAAGAAAGAAAGTATTGAATGCACCAAAACGAAATAGAATGCATGCCCCCAAACGAAACAGAACATTCAGAGTAAAATCTTGGATGCCTAAAAATTGAAATGGAATGCACCGAATGAAGAAGAAACCCCAATTTGATCACATGTGTAAACATTTTCTCCAAATTGAATGGCTGGTAATGAAAATGATTAGAAATATTCGGATAGTGAAACCTATATTAAGTTAGCAATTGGATGACATACCATTTTTTTTTTGGCGTCAAATTTATTGCACCAAAACTGTGAGATCGGCAATTTGGCACCAAACAATCTGGTAGCTCGGGTTACCTTAGGCCCTGAACATTTTTTTGTCTGCTGGGCGTGCATTATCCATAATATTTCTTAGTAAGCCTATATGTATTTCTATCATTTTTTTTGCAGAACCATGTTTAGATGAAAAATCTCTGTTCAGGGTCGCTATGATGCTTGCTTGTGAATGGGTAACACTGGCAGTTGAGGAGCTGGACTTTACCATAACAGAGGTTGAGACTATCGAGACAAATCACCCAAAGGATACCATGAGGCAAGGTCTCGATATGCTTACAAAATGGAAACAGGCCCAGTCCACCAGTGTTGAACAGCAGATCACCAAGTTGTGTACAGCATTGAAGAGCATCGGAAGAGCAGACATTGCCGGATTTCTGCACGGTAAGTACACGTCTTGGCTCCTTGTATGCCTAATGCAAAGATGAATTAAAGAAAAACGCTATTTTCAGAAATTGAAAACATGTATTTAGTGACATTGCAAAAAATGGTTAAATCTAGGCCATTTGCTCTACTTATGAGTTCGTTTCTGAAAGTGGTTCGATGTCTATGATTATATTTTCTTATTTCAATGAAACGGAAAGAAATTATTAAACGAAACCTTTTCTTTTTCTCTTTAAAAAAGGCAACAAATTAGGACAGAAAAGCAGCAATCGGACTTTTTAAAAGCAATATTTTGTGTTTTATATTTTATAATTTGCTTGGTACATTTCTGGGACACCACTGATTCAGGTGTCACGAAATTGTTGTGATTTCTTTACTGCTAACGATCATCTTAAAGGCAGCGACACACAAACTTTAAAGTTGCGTACACCGTGCTCCTCCACAAGTGCAGTTGTTGTTCTTCTTAATACATTTCAACTACTATGTTTTCTTCCAGCCAAAACACTTTGTTTTCCCCCTTTTCCGACGTCCATAATCCTCCAAAAAAGGTTTTGTATTGAGCACAAACAGATCCGCTTTGCAAGCAGACTGCTCATGGTCTATACATTTCCGAAAGTGATTGTGTGGCGGCAACCAGCCTTCCCTACGAGTAAAGAATTATTGTCTGAGTAATAAGCCATAATTCAATAACTAAAAATTGACCGATTTTCTTTTTGGTCGATGTCTTGTTCAAAAGTAAATAATTTTTGTTTCCCTAAAAAAAGAGTAACTTAGAAAATCAACTACCAAGCAATCAGAGGAGGATTTATTCAGGTCTTGTATAATCCCGCACATATCTTATCGATGGGTCCTGATTTGCTGTGATTGCTGTGAAACAGCAATTTTAAGTTTCCCTTCTTAAAAACCGAAAGATCATACTGTTGTTTTAATGATTCTCATACTGCATTAAGTATATCACATGCCCAGGAGACCGCTAAACCAGATATGTATTGGTGAATTTGGCGCCCTTAAAGTTCCCAAAACATCACAATGCTAAATCAAATGGTTCCTGCAATGTGGTGGCTTTCTAATTAACTTCGTGTTCTTTAATTCAACAATTACCAGGAGGTTTTGAGGATATTTGCTGGAGGTAGAGCTCAACCACTTTTACTTAACAGGATGCTTATAGTGTCCATGAAATAAGTTTTATACGGGTGCATATTTGTAGCAAATTTCCAATCTTCAGAAATGTTTGAAAACTATATAAGACATCGATTTTTGGTAAAACAAAATGCAAAGCTCACTGTTTTAAACATTTCAAATGTTTTATGCTTTTCCTGACGACTAAGGGCGCTGTTGCTTTGAAATCACTTTAGGAACACAGGTACCAAAACGTTCTTGGAATGAAATCCATTACATTGACCCTTTAATGTCTCTTGAAAGTTCAAAGTGCAAAGAAATGCAAAGAAGTTGTGGCTTTGCTGGATTTACACACTTAAAGTTCCTGGTCGATTTCGACCCGGAATCTGGATCAGGTTTGTTTTGACATAACACTTTTTCAGGTCAAATTGACACTTTATGGAGTCACTTTTATTGGCCATTTGAAAATTGTAAGTTTGACACGAAAAATTGTCGTTTTGACACGAAACATTGTCATTTTGACACACAGGTATGTCAGGTCGAATCTAACCCAAGTTTTTTTGAGAGTGCAGGAAGCTACCAGCAAAAACATTTTGGAGAAAGTATACATTTATAGCACATGCGTTGCGAGACCAATTTTTGAGGGGAAGGGGGGGGGGGGAGAACAAATTAGCAAGAATCCACCCCTCCTGGTAGGTAGCCATATTATTTCCGCAACAAAATCGAAAGTTAAATAGTCATTTCAAATCTATATATGTCAATGCAGTTTTATGTAGATGTGCGGTCAACAGTATAGTTTAGGTTCATACAAAGCTCCATCGAAACGTACAATTGAGTAATAATCATGGAATATATTGTCGCCTCATTTTTTTCCATATTGACACCTTCCCTTGACCAACAGGTCCTGATCATCTGAAGATTTGCCAGCAGCTGCTTTTTAGTTTCTACGAAGAACATACAGGCTTCATCCAAGAAATCGTAACGTCTTCCAGGTCACTGGCGTTGGGTGTTAATGAGTTCAATATTGATTTAAATCTCCTTCAGAGTGGTCAGCAAACAACACGTGAAGACGTGAAAATGTATGGGAAAACTACGATTTTGAATAGACCCAAAACAGAGCAACTGGACACATGGGAGGATATGTATGATGAAAAGAAGGTAGGGGAGAAAATGGTTCTTCTTTCAGGTGGGGCTGGATTCGGCAAATCGACTCTATGTGTGACGATAGCGAATACTTGGAAGAAACGTAAAGAGTCAAAAGTTGCCAAATTACGTAAAGGGTCAAAAGTCGCCAAATTACGTAAAGTGTCAAAAGTTGCCAAATTACGTAAAGGGTCAAACGTTGCCAAATTCGAGCTCCTGTTCTTGTTGAAGTTGAGTCAATTCAAGACAAGTTGTGTCATAGATGAAATTTTTGATCAGTTGTTGCAGCGCACTGACAAACTGACCAAGTCAGATGTGAAAAAGGTTATCAGTGACAACGAAGATAAGGTCGCATTCTTGATGGATGGGTTGGATGAAATACCGAGCCACATTTTACAATCTACCGAGGGTGTATATACAATCAATGATTTGTTGACAAACAAGGTATTGATCAAAAGCTGTGTGTTGGTGACAACACGGCCAGACATGGTCGACGATGTAATTCAGGGCTTCCAAGGCTATGCCAGGGTTGAAACGAAGGGCTTTACAGTCGATAACAGAGATAAGTTTATCAAAGCACACTTTCCAGACAATATCGCATCCGGAGAAGACTTAATTTCGTGGTTGAAATCACACCACTCTCTCCAGGAATTGTCACTGAGTCCAATCATTGCATGTATGCTATGTGTGCTTTGGCCGAACAGACCTGACCCATCATTACCATTGCCAGACAAGTTAACAACTGTGTACACTGAATTTGCAGAAGTTCTTGTTGAACGCCGCTTTAACTCACTCAGTGATGCTGATAAGCAGCAAGTAATGAACAAAATCTTGAAGGGATCGGGACAAGTTGCTATAGATGGGCTTCTAGATGGAGAAAGACTTCATTTCTCCCCAGAAGAGTTCAGTAGGGACGAATCTGTCTTGAAGGACGGTTGTCAAATGGGTATCTTGCAGAGAGAAACTGTCTCGAGCCGTGTGACGAGTGTTGAAGTTGTCACTTTTCTTCATAAGTCCCACCTAGAATACTGCGCGGCACACTACCTTATCAGTTTGCTAAATAGTGATGAACAGAGCTTCCGTCGATATATTGATAAAATCATAGCACTCGGTGTTTCGAAAGTAGAATATGTGCTTCGATTTTGCTGCGGTTTATCAAAACAGGCTGCTGCCCTCATCCTGAGCCGTGTAGGACACGGTGACGACAATGTTGCACGATTGTGTTTGTTTGAGTCTGGTTCAAAAAGGCTAGCATCTAAACTATGGCCTCCAAGTAGAATTTCCTGCTACGGCCAACAGGACTTAGTAGCACTGCACTATTACCTTACAGAGTCTGGTATTAAACTAAACTGGACAACCTTCAGAATCGAGTGCAATTCATGTGCCGACCTGCGAGTTCTTGGAGATATTTTTCGATGTTGCAAAAGTGACATTCGGAGTATGACCATCGATTGTGTCCTGCGGGATCAATCTAATGAGATGTTGCGGCTACTTGTGGAAACACTTCAAGCAGCGGATAGGGCATTGCTAAACAAGAAATTGTTAGGTATTGAGGTTGGTATTCGTGATGGTGAAAATGTTGATGCTAACCGTCTAGCAGAGTGCATTTCCCATTTACCAAATCAATTATGGACGGTCCATGTATCCTACATATCGCATGATGACACCTGCGCATTAGCGGATGCACTGAAAGGATGTAAGTTACACGGTTTACATGTATCTCGCGTCAACATGCACAGTCACGTTGCTAGATTGGGTCCTCTTGTTACACCATCCTTGAGGACCTTGGAGTTAAGTTTCTGTGGACTGGATGATACTGACGTTGAGGGCGTTGTCAGCCTCCTCCCTAACGGGCATGGTTTGACCGGAATTTTTCTTGATAAAAATGCATTCAGTTTGAAGGCAGTGAAGACACTAGCAGGTCATTTTCGGGCTCTTTCTAACCTGACCTGTTTGGTATTTGGAGTCTTTGATGATGATGTCGAGCAAGTATTGGAGCAATATCTTCCACAACTGAAACACAATTCTGAAAAAAGTATGGAGGGTAATTTTGTCTGCAACTCATATCAGAAGGTACAACAGCTCAAACAAAATCTTGGCGGGGCTGATCTGTCCGAAGGGATATATATACACTACACCATGTCGGAGCGCTGGAGAGAAGAGCTAGAGCTGCTTGAGGAAACATTCGGATCATTAGACGAACGGCTCCTCGGTCAAATGGAGCTCATATTAACGGTTTTTGTTCTGAGTGTCGTTGATATCGAGTGGCTTGCAGGATGCATGAGCCATCGTTACACTCATGTTGAGAGGTTAAGCCTCCGGGTGTTTTCCCTATCACCATCATATGTCACTGGCCTACTAAATGCACTGACTGAGGGATGCAATTTAAGCAGACTTGAAGTATTTGGAACCAACATGCATGGTCATGTGAGGGATTTGGCTTCACTTGTTACTCCATCCTTGGAGCGTATGACATTAAAAGACTGTGGCCTTGATGATGATGACATGACAGGCTTGACTCGCATACTTTCTGCTGCGCAGTATTTGGTATCACTGGATGTTTCACGCAACAGTTTCAGTTTGAGAGCAGTGAAGGCTCTTACTATCTATCTCCAAGGTTTTCAATACCTGCACGATTTGGAGCTTGGGAACAACGATCTCGATTGCAATCTTGTAAAACGGGTTGTTAAAGAAAATCTTCCAAATGTCAAGATACCAGTGATGTAGTGCCTTGATGCTGGGCCCTGGCCTTAAGGCTGCCTTAAGGCTGGACCTTAGGGCCTTGGCCTTGGCCTCGAGGCTTGAGGGCAAAAGCCTTGGCCTTGGCCTTGGCCTTGAGGGATCAGTGCCTTGCAATTTTGAGTCAAGGCTCTTCAAGGCCCATAGATTTTTGCATTTTCCAGATAAATCTGTTTGAAATTTTGCTGTTACCATTTTAAACGTGTTACCATGTAGGAGGGAAACACCCTATAGACTTGTGTGCTGGGCACACTTCCACTTTTATAGCATCATATTTTGTTACCATTGTAGTAGATTTGCTGCAACAATATTCTGTACACTTGTGGGACTAATGAGATGATCACTTAAATTGTGTACAATTATGGAATAGATCTGGTTGGTTGTATATATCTTCCTGATAAGTGCTAAAGATTTGCATGTATCTATTTTAGATAATGCTAAAATTTCTGACCATGTTGGCCCAGCAAATTAAAATTTCCAAAATCAGTTTCTTGGATCCCCTTTTGTTACACTTGGGAGAATTGTGCGTCAATATAAAGGTAAATCGTTATTTTGTTTTAGTTAAACCATATTCAAGAAGACCTGAACTTATGCTTTAATAGATACAATGCAGTCATAAAACAGTGTGTGCGAGCATGTTGATTGCAATTAAGACAAGTTGTTCTTCTTAATGAGCGATTCGTGATGATGTGTCATGTGACTATAATTAGTTCTATATTAGTGGTCATGTTATAAAACAGGGCCTTGGCCTTGGCCTTAGCCTTGAGGGTTAAGCCTTGGCCTTGGCCTTGAGGCTTGAGGGTCAAAGCCTTGGCCTTGGCCTTGGCCTTGAGGGTCAAAGCCTTGGCCTTGGCTTTGGCCTTGAGGGTCAAAGCCTTTGCTCCAACACTGCAAGATTCTATGAAACAAAGATCTTGACAACAACTAGCTCAAATAAAAATCACTTTTAGTTGGTTAAATGTAAGCATCCAAACGTAACAAAATCAATATGATCACCGAATCAAATCATAAATTCGAACCAAAATAGTGATTTGTTTCTGCAGAAAAAAAGCTTTACTGTAAGAAGAAAACCAAGATCGAACTAGTCTACACATTATAATTACATTAATATCAGTGATAGGTATAATTACATTAATATCAGTGATTGGCACCATGAAGTAAACATTGTAAAAGTAAATATTTACTTATCGGGTTGAAGTCCAATGACCGGCTAAACACACGCAGTTTTTATCAATAGTTTCAGAGGAGCACACTTAAAATACAATTGTGCTTGTTTTTTGTATTGTTGATAAAACGGTGGTGTATCTCTCGTCTGATTGAAGCTGTTTTGGCTAGTTTATTTTGAAAGTGTTCCTTTGGGATGCAGTTTATCAGTTTTAACTATTCTGGTGTATAATAGAAATGTTTGATTTTGGACGATCTTGACACTTGTGCGGACTGTTGTGCTCTGTCCCGGCTTAATTGTCCATGGAATTGATTCCATTCATGGGATGATTGGGACGGGACCCAGTGTAGTGAGTTTGCGCGGGTGTCGAGACTGCGCTGGTTCGTCTGCACTTTGGTGCATTTTAGTCTTTAACTTTTCTTAAATGTTTTTTTGTTGTGGTGACAATTTTTAATAAACCTTTTATGAATGAATGAATGAATGAAAACTAACAGGCTTTCATACTTTGCAAAAAAAAATCTAAACATGTCTTTGACTGAACATATGAATAAGTCGGCACAAAAACTTTATGTACTATTTTTAGAGTGGAGAATGGGAAAGAAGTGGAACAAACAAGAGTAAGAATTAGAAAATGATTAATAATTTGAAATCAATAGGCAATGATAATTGCTTACATGAGGATTGATAAGGACGATGTTGAAAGCTAAAAGATGGGTAATGAACACGATGTGATGATATCACATGAATGTATTAATCGAGGTCTCTTTCATTGAAGGATTATAAAGTTTTGTGGCAAAGACAGAATGAGATTCACTAAAATTTGGTTGTAGAGTAATAATATAAAGGACCAACACAGATTGTTATTTTTATATTTTATATTTATAATTTTATATTTGGAAATAGTTAGATTTTAGAAAGCTTTCTTGTTTGATTTGTTGAAACACCAAGTGTCTTTTGGCAACACTGATCACATCTGAAGGGATGCTTGCGCAGTGCACAAAAGAACGTATCACGTGACTGCACATCCAATTTGTAAACATATATATTTTGGTCTATACATGTAGTTACTGATTCTAGATGGTTCATGTGAACCAGCTTGGAAGCAGACAATTTATCTGAAGATTATTCATCTTTGATGCCATCAACCCGTTCATGAATTTCTGTTACAGTTCATAAACCGATATGCCAGAAATCATTCAATTTTGTAGCAAATTTCCTTTTAAGAGTAAATGATCCACATGAATTCTACCAGACTGTGTTTAAACTATTAGATATGCAAGTGTGCCTAACAAATATAAATGGTTATATGTTCCTGTGTAACCTTGTTCAACTTCCAACGTTGATCTATTTTCGCTACAACTCTAGCTTTTGATGATGTGTATAATTTGGACATTTATATTCTTCTATAAATATATGCTTTTCTATTAATTTGCCAAAATATTCCCAACCGAAATAAAAGGACTGAAATTAAAGAAAAGAATTTCATTTCAATGTGTTTCATTGTAGCATTGTGTGTTTATTTGATACAGTGACAAACTGGCGCTCAGTGGTAGCTCAGTTCAAAAAGCACTAATATGCTATTTAAAAACTGTAATTTCAATGTTTTAACTACATTATAACTGTCATTGTGACATTGAAAATTTGATGTAGATCACTAATTTCATGTCAACAAGCGAAAGTCAACAAGAACCCATGATTAATGTAAAAGGGGCGGGGTTGAAGGGCCGTGACTCCACTGAATCCCAGATCATTAATCAGTTGATAACAGCTGGCAGCTAAGCTCTAAATTGAAACAACGAAGATGACCGGGGACAAATTCCAGGCTTCCTTCCATCACACAGTGGTCCGTCGGCAATTATGTTTTTACACGCCCAGCCAGCTTTCATTCTAATTGGTCTGGAGACGCCTGTGCTGGAAATAATAGAGACAACGTTTCTTTAATATGTTGGAACAACATCTAGTAGGGAGAATCCCAACTTGCACAGGGTTTGTAGTCAATACATTCTCCCTCGGGATGTAATAATGGGGATATCAAAACTCATTCCCAGTCGAATTATGAAATGATACTTATTGTATCGCTTCAGTTGTTGATAGAATATGCATGAACACCCGTCCAATACGATTGGATCTGGGTGGAAACACGTAGGCCTACCTTGTTTCGTCTTCAGATGTCACGAATGTACACGGTGCCCCCTCAAACAAAAACCCGAACCGTTAAAGCGCCCTCCTTTTCACATCTTGGTTTTAGTGCATACGTGCCATGTTTTTTTATATGTTTTATTAGGCATTATACTAACGATAATCACCATTCCCCACCCCCCCCCTCCCCCGTTTTTTTTTTTTGTAAATTGCTCTTGATCTGTTATCGTGTGTTTCTTGTTTAATTGTTTTAATTTAAATCAGTGATGCAATTCGCTCTTATTGTCAACTTTGATTCACGTTTTTCTTAAGGTTTTATTATTTGGAGAGGGATCATATTCGGGATATGGAATGTGTTCTAAAAACAAAACAAGGAACGGGTTTGGATTCGCAGTTATCCCAACATGAAACCAAAACGGTCCAATCGAGATAAGTGTTTGTGGATAACATTAAAGCAATAATTCAAATGAATCAAAACAAAATCACATGCGAACAAAAGACTTTTAATAAACCATTTTGAATAGTTTGTACATCCTTTGAGGGTTCACTACAACGGTAACACTGCTTCTTGGAAACATTTCTTTGAAGACAATTTTGAACACGACAAAAGTCCCCAGTGAAATTAATTTTCAGGTGTCGTACAGCTCGTCCATTACACGCTGCAATAGTTACCATTGAGCTTCATCAGTTTCAGCGTAAGCACATTTGTTGTGCTCTGGTAGATCTGAATGGGTTCTGAATTGAATATTGTGTTCTCTACGCCTCCCCCGTCACAACACCACAGCACTGTATCTATGGTAACCGACTTGTTTACCTGTAAAAACATCGCTCTTATTGCTTTGCCTCGAGTGGGAGTCGTCATTCCAGCCACTGATTTGCTCTGTATCAAGCCTCGTCCTGGTTTCAGAGATACAGATATTTGGAATAGTCCTTAGCAACATCTTCAGTTCATCATGGCGTTTTGGTCCGAATTTATCGTCATCGTTGCTATCATTTCATCTATCAAAACTGTACTTGGCTCAGGGTTCTGTCCTTCTCGGCTCTCTGTCAAATGTCTCTCTCGGCTCATTGTGGAATGCTCTTGCCCGCCAGAGTGGCAACTGTGGGGGAACGAGTGTTATCGCATCACTCCTTTACCGCATACTAGGGATGACGCCAAGACAGCTTGCCAAGACATGGGAAGCAAGATGGCTGCTCCTCGCTCGCTGGAGGAAATGAACTTTATGGTGGAATTGGCGCAAAAGGTGGACAGTGCATACTCTGCCTGGATCGCCTGCAATGACAAAGAAATTGAAGGAACTTGGGAGTGTGACGGTCAGGAAGGTCGCAAGCCCTTCTTACTTTGGGATGATGGGCAACCAAATGATTTATTCAATCAAGATTGTGTGGCAATAAAGTCGACAAAAAACGGCAAAATGGATGACGAATACTGTTATCGCTCTCACTTGGCGTTTTGTGTTCGTCGAGCTGCCTGCACTCACGGCCTAACCCAACTCCGTCACTGATGCCTCTCTACCGACACACACGGCCGCAGTCTCAACCCAACCTGCCTCCGCGACCGCAACATCCGGGGGTTCATCACCGAGAGCGTGGCCGTCCGTGGCTCAACCGACAAGGGGCCCAGATGTCGCTCTTTCAACAATAACATATCTGCAGAAGGGAATCAGCTGAATCCAGGACACATATCAACATAGGGCACCGGCTAGTCATGGACATTGAAGTGTGTTGGAAAGGTAGTCTACC